GGAAAGCTTTGGCCCAGTGCCCGCACTCAGTACAGGGAGATGTCGAGGTGATGGAGTGTCCACACTTGGGCTGGGCCCTGGGGACACAGCCATCCAGGCGTCATGGTCTGGGTGGGAGCAGGCATTGGAGCCCCACGAGGGTGGGATGAATTCACGCCAACACAGTCCCAGGGAGAGAAGGAAACAGCATGTACGAAGGCCCTAGTGCTGGAAGAGGGAATATTCTGGAACATGGAGCTGAGGGTGATGGGGAGTGGCCAGCTTGTAAAGGGTGAGAGGCTCAGACTGGGGGTGAGCAGCAGGGCCTCTAAGGGATGGCAGGGAAGTGGGGCTGAACTGAGGGCTGGTGAAGGGTGATAGGAGAGTGAGGGGACCCGGTTTGTGCTACGGGCTCACGTAGGCTGCTGGGCATACCAGGGTTGGGGGAAATGTGTCGGGAGCCTGCAGGCACCATCCCGGCAGGAGAGGCCATGGCTCCTGCACCCCTGAGCAGGTCTCCTCCTCCAGGAAGTGGGGACGGGCCCAGCAGCCCCAGCCCCTTGGAACGTAGCCCTGGATCTGAGCCACCGTCCCCAGGACCTGCTACCTCCCCGACATCTCCAGACCTGGACCCAGAGGCCGTGCGGGGGGCCCTCCGGGATTTCCTGCAGGAGCTGCGGAGCACCCAGCGAGAACGGGTGAGGCTGGTGTGAGAGGCCGGGTAGGGAACGGGTGGCTGAGACCTGGGAGGGGCTGCAGGTTGTCAGAGCAGGGGTCTTCCCCTTCCCCTGACCTGGGGACTGCAGGATGAGTTTCGGGCCCAGACCAGTGCCCTGAGTCGCCAGCTGGTGGAGATGGAGGCCGAGAGGGACAGCGCAACCTCGAGGGCAAGGCAGCTGCAAAAGGCTGTGGCCCAGAGTGAGGAAGGTGAGTCTGACCCCCACCCGGGCCTTTGCTTTGCTCTCGTGTGCTCTTAGCAGCGGAGTGGGAAGGCTGCGGGATTGCCCTGAGCGGCTCCTGCATCCCTGCCCTGGCCACTGTGACCAGGAGCATCACACCCTAAATGACAGTTGGGGGCCGTCATTTCTGGGGACCCTCCTTGATCAGGCCCACCCCATGTTCAGACTTACAGACCTTCAAAGACTCAGAGAGGCAGGTCCCATGGTGAGTGGAGGGCAGGCCAGGTATTTTGGGGCCTGGGTTAGGCATCTGGGCTGTGCCTGGCCAGGCCTCACCCTGGGGTGGGGGCCACAGCTCGGCGCAGCGTGGACGGGCGGC